CCTAACTTTGTCCCATTTTTTCACCAAGATGCAAATGGATTCAAACAAAACGTGCAACACGAAAGTTGTAGTCCATCACAAAGTCTACAACTTTTATTCACAAAGTTTTCTCAAAAGAAGCTTGTATCTCAAGTTATGATTTTTGGAACAAGGGTACCTAAAACTTTTAACTTAGAAATTTTTTGCCCTAGTTTAGGCAGGATTTTGACCCATCTTCTTGGCCATTTTTCACATAGTTCCACTTGGAGTTTCAAGTTGCATTTCAAAGATGGGTTGTAGTACATGTTTCAAGCTTTCCAAATTGTCCAAGAACTCCTCAAACACCTTTGTGGTTAGGGAGAATCGAATGCTTGAAATTGGCAAAAACTCACTTTGAAACCATGGCCAATACATGTTCATACCAAGTTGCAAATTTGAGCAAACTAGCTCAGTACATGATTACAGACCTCTAAACCAATTTACACTCCAAAATTGAATACAAATACATTGGATATTGGCATTGTTCTGATCAAGAGAGCTTTGTACAATGAACATTGTCATTTTAAGCATAAAGGCCACACTTCCATTTTCATAAAGGCCACTTTATGTCAATTTCCATTTTCTTGAGCCTTGGACTTTTTTCCTTGCAGCAAATAACTTCCCTAATCTCAGGCATAATACACCAAGTTGAGCATGCTTGTAACTAGCCTGTACAGGCCCTAGCTTGGACAGTTCACAACTTTGCTTTCAAAACAAGTCAAATGGCCAAAAGCTTGTATCTCTCACATCTGATAAAACCAACCAAGACAAAGTTTTCAAACAAGTTGTGCACACCCTAGCAAGCCAGAAACACGAGTCATTGACCTCTCAAAACTCCTTGTGCACAAATTCCCCATTTTCTTGCAAAACAGGGCCAGTTCTGCCTTTTGCAAGCCATCATCAAATTCCATCGTGCATTTTGCCCAAAGATACTTCAAACACCTTCCAACCAACACACTTAAACTATTCCAGACCTCCATTGCTAGCTGTAACACCATTAACACACATTGCTATTTTTGTTTCAAAGCTTTGCAGGTTGAGTTCTGTAGCACGATTCAGGCTACTTCAAAACAAGCCAAGCATTGGGAAAGCTTCAGTGGACCTCAGGCAAGCTCAAAAGAACCTCAAGCACCCTTGGAAGTTGCTGCATTATCCAGCTCGAAGTCAACTGAAACATGTATTTCATGAACTTCTATCTCTCTATTTAGGAATAGTTAGAGTTAGGTTTGTGAATGAAAGATGTTGTACTCATAGCCCTGAAACCATACATGTGCTTAGTTTTCATTTATATTAATCGTGCTAGGAGAATTTTGTTCCTGAACTTTTTGAAAAAACTAGGTTAAGAATTAGGGTCAGAGAAATTCTCTCTGGTCTTTGAGAGTTAGCTTAAGTTTTTTATATGGTTGGATTCGTTGTTTGATGCTCTACAAGTTTCATGTTGTGAGTTTTGTCAAAAAAGCAAGGAATCAGGAGATAGCATTTGATGTACAGAACGCGCGTTTTTGTTTGAACTGAGGAAGAAGATGAAGTTGCTTGGGCTGAGCCTGATTGCTTTTGCTTCTCACACATACATTTTCAGTTTACACCCCCGTGACCCATTTATTTGTATATTTGTCATTTTGGTATTTTTATTTTTTATTCTGACTTTATTATATTATGTCCAAATATAAAAAATGCCAAAAAATTATTTTTATATTTTTTCATATTTATTTGATATTTATTTTTATTTTACTAGTATAAAAATGTAAATAATTTATATTCTTTTTATTAAAACTTAAGAATAATGTAAAAAAATATGTTTATTTTCATTTATTATTTTATACACATTTGAAAATATTTTCTTGAAATATATACATTTTTGTAAATAATTTATTTTTTATTTTTATACACTTAATATATATATATATATATATATATATATATATATATATATATATATATATATATATATATATATATATATATATATATATATATATATATATATATATATATATATATATATATATATATATATATATATATATATATATATATATATATATATATATATATATATATATATATATATATATATATATATATATATATATATATATATATATATATATATATATATATATATATATATATATATATATATATATATATATATATATATATATATATATATATATATATATATATATATATATATATATATATATATATATATATATATATATATATATATATATATATATATATATATATATATATATATATATATATATATATATATATATATATATATATATATATATATATATATATATATATATATATATATATATATATATATATATATATATATATATATATATATATATATATATATATATATATATATATATATATTAGGACAAAAAAATACAAAAATAATACATTTTTATTTTCATTAATATTTTATATTAAAAATACTTTTTTTTTCAATATGCTTTTATTTTTTTTTACAAATTAATATATTATTGCATATAAATAATAAATAATACTATTTATTTAAGAAATTATGGTTTTTGCCCTAAAAAACAAAATAATTAAAATTGACTTTTTTTTTAATTATTTACACTTCACATTTAAAAATACTTTTTACATACATAAAAATCTTTTTTTTGCATAACACATTTTATCTAATATTTATTCATTGTATTTATTTAATTATTGTACATTTAATTATTGTATTTTATACATTCAATTTGGTTGTAATAATTTAGGATTTAATTTCTTACAAAATAATCCCCAATTCAAATTTGTACCCCCTCCCCCCCTATATCATGCTGTAATAGTGTAGAATTTAAATTCTCGCACCTTTAAATGCTTACAATTATGCCATGATTAGACCTAGGGTTTGTATGCAAAATCAAATTAACGAATAGTTTGACCTAATCCAAGATAACCATGCTTGAAAAACAAACACAATGCACACTTGCACCCCTAGGGTTTCAATCCACTTGTTGCCTTAAAAAATGGGCCATGATATGCATGTCAAGTTACTTTGGCAAAATAAAAACAAAACAAAAGATCATAGTCCCTCGATGACGCTATCTGAGTTGCCTAAACAAAATGATCAAGTCCCTTAAGAAAATTGTCAAAAATACTTGACACCATTGCTATCATGGTCTATACGATGACCCGCGCCTGTCCCGTTAACATCCTAACACAAGGTTGTTTACCAAATACAATGGTGAAACAACACTGTTAAAAGGGTTAAAAATATAAGAAAGATCTTTGAGTAAAATAGGGTAGACAACTCTTAGTTACTTGATCAAAACTTGCAAAAAACATCCTTGCTATTTTCAAAACCCTACTTTCAAACATTGAAAACTTTTCAAAAGACAAAAACACCTTTGTATACATTCAAACAAGAATCATTACAAAGGTTGCCACAACGATAATCTCTTTTCAAAACATCTTTCAAAATCACACATTAAGCACCATTTCAAACAATTGAAAAGCAAAGCAAGTGATCTAAGCAAGTAACTAAGAGCCCATGGATAACCATGTATAGAAAGGGTGCTAATACCTTCCCTTTCTATAATCTACTCCCCGAACCCAAAGAAAACATCTCAAAGGTCTTTCTTGTGCTTTTTGACCTTTCCTTAAGATAAAATAAAAAGTCGGTGGCGACTCTTGCTAAACCGAAACATTTGCGAACACAAACGCAAAATCCCAAGTCAGTTCTCCCACCGTATCACACTGTGAATATAGGAACTGCCAGGACTTGGTCATACTGGACAGATGTGCCTGCAACTAGCTGTTAGTTCCGATAAGGAGGTAGGTTACAGGTAGTGGTCTGATTGATTCCTAATTATTTGACTGACTTGAGGTCAGACAGACTGAAAGGCGCTTGTCGGCTGTCGCTGATCAATGTTAATTCAGAAGAGCGATCAAACGATGGTGTCCGACAGTGGGCAGGGGAATCCGAGCCGCGGTCGCACGAAATGTGCCGAGGGAGAAAATCAGACTAAACCTATTCTAATTGTTGGACCAACCTAAAATATTTACCAAATGGATTATTCATATTTTGAAGGAGAAGATTCAAATCTGATAATTCTTATTTTTTAAATTTGAATAAAAGAATATCATAAAAGAAAACAAACTACTGTAGTAACACGAGAGACGCGTGGCAGCCGCTGGTTTAACAGGCTTTTCTACATCAGAAGCAACTAACTGCAAAAGCATTCTCTTCTCTCTTTCTTTCTCTTTCTTTCTGCTTTTCCGCGAACGAGTGAGTCTTCTTCCATCGAACCCTAATCCCTCTATTTCTTTTTATATTATTATTCATCGCTCTTTTTGCTTATTCTACTTTCTTCTGTTTCTCACTCACGATTCATCGTAATTATTATTATTTTGATTTTAAAATTTTAAATTATTGCATTTGTTTTGATTTTGATTCTCATAGTTTCAATGTTTAAAACTCGTTACGTTCAATCTTGATGCATTTGATTTCGATGCATCTGTTACCGTTCTCGATCTGTGTTTCGTTTTCTGTTTTCTTTGGATTGCATTGCATTGCGTGATTTGTTCTTCGATTGGAACGTGTTATTTTATTTTATTTTTGTTTATTTGGAATGTGTGTCATGTTTTACGTAGAGTCTGATCGGGTGCTAGCAGATATGGTTAGATTTGACTTTTTATAGAGTTGGTTATAGTGTGATTGGAAGTTCGTTGGATAACTCTTTGTAGCACTGACACCTCTGAAAAAGATACGATTTAAAAAAAAAATTTATTAATGTCAACGTCGTGTTTGCGGTGCTTCATAGTATACTTAAATGAATTGAATGAACTCAAACACGCATTTGAGGTCTGGTCTATCTAATGGATTATCATACAAACATTGATTTTGTAATTTATGGGGATATTTCCTTCACTGATTTTATGTGATTGATGGTGCATAGTGTTTTTGTGACTCTGTTGGTTGTGTTATGTGATTGCAGTTTGTGATGGGGATATATCTAAGTGCTCCAAAAACTGAGAAGGCCTCTGAAGATGGTGAGAATGGCATGCTTCGCTTCGGTTTGTCTTCAATGCAGGGCTGGCGTGCTTCTATGGAAGATGCAGTAATTGTTCTTTTCTTTTGGTTCATATATTGTTGTTTAGTTGTTTTGTGTATTGCTTTGAATAGCGATTCGTTTTGTGTTCAATGATGTGCTATATCTGTATGATGTTGTTAAACATGTGCGGCTATTTACCTGCACATGTGGGAAATTATTTTAGAAAAGTAAAGTTGGTTTATTAGAGGTACTATTTGCCAGCGACTTGTGAGGAAATTCCCAGTGTTAAATAGCAGTCCTGCAGCATTGTGGAATTTGAAGAAAAAAAATTACGATACGTCATTTAGTATAAAATGTTGTCAAATACAATGCTACAGTCTGGTAGCATCGTTGCGTAGCAGAAATGGAGGAAATTACTATTTTCCGTGATCTGCGATTGGCAACAGTGGAAAAGCTAAACTTGATTGACATATATCAATGTAATAGAGACTAATGTCCGTTTAAAAAATTAACTTATTGATTTTGTTATTTGCACAAATGACTAAGAATATTGTAAATTGAGCTATATATTTATCTTCTGTATTAAGAAACTTATAGATTACTGTTTCATCATTAATATACTACAACGAGATGTGAAGAGGTATCATTATGTGCACATTAATAAAACTAATTTCAGTCATATATTGTTGCGAATTCACAAATATAAATGGTAAAGTTTCAACTTCTAGTGATTAGCATGTATATGATGCAGATGCTTCATGTTTGGTCCACCTTGATTCTCTTGTACTTTAATAGTCTATTATCATATCAAAATCTATTTGATATGAGTTTTAATTCTTCTACATGACTTGGCAGCATGCAGCTCATCCATATTTGGACGAGTCTACGTCTTACTTTGGTGTTTATGATGGCCATGGAGGTTGGTGTCCTATCTTTATGTTTTCATAATATTGTTTTTTCCCAGCCATGCTCATTTTTAAAAACAGCAAAGGCGTGATTTTTTTCTTTCATGTCATTTAAATTTATTATTTTGGACTGGAATCTCATCATTGGAATTGTTCCTGTAAAACTAATACTAAGCAATTTTATTTCATTGCTAAGAAAGCTGGGTGGCTTAAATGTTTGATATTGTCTCTAGGATGTTACTTTCATTTTGAAGTTTCCTTTGTAACCCACCTTAACATTGATGGCTTTTACTACTTAACATGCAGCTAGAAGCTAAATGAATAAAGAAGCTAAATGGATCAAACTCCTTTCATGAGTCCAAATCAACTTTTTCACCTCAACTTATTTAAAAGATCTCTACAACTTTTTTATAAGCACCTAATAAACTTATAAGAGATTTTCTATACTCTAGGCATTAACACACATCTCAATAAAACTGCTCTCATAAGTTATAAACTAATCTAAACAAAACTTTGCTTCTATTTTATTGGATTAATTTCGAACAGGATAGAAATGCCTTTTCGATCTTCTTCACAGGATGCTCTTTATTCCATAAAATTTTTGTTTGCAATATCGGTATTTCGTTCTGCTGGCCTTGTTAAAGGAAAATGGGTAAAATATTTTCCTTTTTGGTTTGTATACCTAGGCTATATTTTGCATCTATACTATTGGCCCGTTCAAGACTTGGCATTGATTTCAATTCACTCGAAGACTTTGAATTTGAAATGTCAGAAAACTTCTGTCATTTTGAAATATAGTTATGGGGCTGACATATATTGCATATTTAACATCTAGTTCTATAACTCTCAATACGGTTTCACTGATTTGCAGGTAAAGCTGTTTCAAAATTCTGTGCCAAGTTTCTACACCAGCAGGTGCTTAGGCATGAAGCTTACTTAGCTGGAGATATAGCCACATCTTTACAGAAATCATTCCTCAGGTACTTTTTTTTTTCTTTTCCTTTTTAATTCTTATTAATCTTACTGGATGCCATATTGGAGTTTAGACATTCTGTCCATATTATGCCCTTTTTATGTATATATTTTCCTTCATATTGAGGCAGAATGGATGAGATGATGCGCGGCCAAAGAGGGTGGAGAGAATTAGCAGTCTTGGGAGATAAAATGGAAAAGTTCTCTGGTATGCTAGAGGGGTTTATATGGTCTCCCAAGAGTAGTGAAGCCAATGACCGTGCCGATGAGTGGGCTTTTGAGGAGGTAACTACTAAGGAATACAGTTTGTTCTTGCACCACCACTGCTTTTTCTAACTTACTATATTGTTCTTGATGCATGTTGGAAAGGCTTCAATGCATGTAGTAATTTAAGCTTATAGTCACCATGCTGGTTATGTATATACTATTTTTTTTAAACAGTTATCTATTGATAATTGATGTTGATATGAGGTGTATGCAATGATTTCCTTTGCTAGTATTGAATTAGGAGAGACTAAGAGACATTTAGGTTAAACCGTGTGTTATGAAAGCACTACGGAGACTTTATTATATATAGAGAGATTACAACTAATTACACTATATAATCGATGTGGGACTATTCTACATACAAATATTCTTAACATTATATATTTACAAATATCAACACTCCCCCTCAAGCTGGAGCATATAAGTCAAATGCACCAAGCTTGCCACATATATAATTAGTTATGGGGCTTCGCAGAGATTTTGTAAACACATCTGCCAATTGATCATTAGAGTTGACAAAGTTTGTGACGATGTCGCCAGATTCGATCTTCTCTCTGACAAAGTGACAGTCTATCTCAATATGTTTGGTCCTCTCATGGAAGACTGAATTTGAAGCAATGTGCAATGCAGCTTGATTATCACATACAAGTGTCATTGGTCTTGCTTCTTCAATTTTAAGTTCTTTGAGCAACTGTTTTAACCAAATGAGTTCACATGTTGCCATTGCCATGGCCCTATACTCTGCCTCGGCGCTTGATCTTGCAACTACATTTTGTTTCTTACTTTTCCAGGATATAAGATTTCCTCCAACAAGTACACAGTACCCAGAGGTGGATCGTCTATCAATTGGTGACCCTGCCCAATCAGCATCAGAGTATCCAACTATCTGAGTATGTCCTTTATCTTCATACACTAAACCTTTTCCTGAAGCACATTTGATGTATCTTAGAATCCGGATAACAGCATCCATGTGTTCCTGACAAGGGGAATTTAAGAACTGACTTACCACACTGACTGCAAAAGAAATGTCTGGACGAGTGACTGTGAGATAATTCAACTTTCCAACCAATCTCCTATACCTTCCCGAGTCTGATAGAGGCTCCCCCTGATTGGGTAGTAGTTTGACACTTGGATCCATAGGAGTATCAACTGGTTTAGCGTTCAACAAACCTGTTTCTTCCAAAATATCCATAGCATATTTCCGCTGAGAAATCACCAAACCATCTTTAGATTGGGCTACCTCAATACCCAAGAAATACCGGAGTTTACCAAGATCCTTTGTCTGAAATTGATTTGAAAGATGTTGTTTCAACTGGAGTATTCCCGACTCATCACTACCAATTATGACAATATCATCTACATACACAATAAGATAAATACACCCTTGTACTGAGTGACGATAAAAGACAGAATGGTCAGCTTCACTACGGACCATACTAAATTGTTGTACTACAGTGCTGAATCTGCCAAACCAAGCTCTCGGAGATTGCTTAAGACCGTAAAGAGACCTGTGTAGCCTACAAACCATATTCGATGACTCCCCCTGAGCAACAAATCCAGGTGGTTGCTCCATATATACTTCCTCTTCAAGATCACCATGTAAAAATACATTTTTGATGTCAAGTTGATGAAGAGGCCAGTGTCGAATGGCTGCAATGGCTAGAAGAAGTCTAACAGATGCCATCTTGGCTATAGGCGAGAAGGTATCACTATAATCCAACCCAAAAATCTGAGTGTATCCCTTGGCTACCAAGCGAGCTTTAAAACGATCAATCTTACCATCTGGACCAACCTTCACTGTATAAAGCCAACGACAACCTACTAAAGATTTTCCAATGGGTAGAGGAACCAGTTCCCAGGTACCACTGCTTTGAAGAGCACACATTTCATCAATCATTGCTTGCCTCCACTCAGGGTGAGATAATGCTTCACCTGGAGATTTAGGAATAGAAACAGAAGACAAAGAGGACAAACAAGTATACTGCAAAGGGGAAAGACGATGATAACATAAATCAATATAATGTGGAGAAGGATTTCGTGTTTGACGTATACCTTTGCGAAGGGCAATCGGAAGATCAGACTCAGGGACAGGTACGACCTCAGGGACATGTACAACCTCAGGGACAGGTATGACAAACGTTGGTTTACGACGCTGATATGTTTGAAGTGGACGAGAAGTGGAAGGGTCAACCGTAGGGGTTTCTCGTGGGACAGGTTCCCTAGAATGATGGGGAATAATGGGAAATGGGACGTCCGGAAGAGGTGTGGGAGTACTTTCCTGAAGGGGTTCCAGAGTGACTTGGGTGGACGCAAAATATGGCACAGACTCGAAGAAGATAACATCGGCCGATATCAAGTATCGTTGCAGAGTGTGAGTAGCAACGATAACCCTTTTTGGATCGATGATAACCAAGAAAGACACACTTTAGTGATCGAGCTGATAGTTTATCAAGACCAGGGGAGAGATTATGCACAAAACATGTAGACCCGAAGACTCGAGGAGGAATTGGATGAAGAGGAGAGTTTGGAAACAAGGTTGAATGAGGGATTTTATTATTAAGGACAAATGAGGGCATGCGATTTATGAGATAACACGCTGTGAGCACAACATCCCCCCAAAATCTGAGAGGGACATTACCATGGAGAAGTAGAGTCCGAGTGGTTTCTACGAGATGCCGGTTTTTGCGTTCGGCTATCCCGTTTTGTTGAGGTGTATGAGGACAAGATGTTTGGTGTAGAATACCATTGGATGACATAAAAGTTTGAAATTGTTGGGATAAATATTCACGAGCATTGTCACTTCTTAAGGTACGAATGGACAAACCAAATTGGGTTCTTATTTCTCGATAAAATTGTTCAAAAATAGAAAATAATTCAGATCTGTTTTTCATTAAAAATAGCCACGTGCAACGTGAAAAATCATCAATAAATGTTACAAAATACCTAGACTCAAAAGTAGACACAGTACGCGATGGACCCCAAACATCAGAGTGAACTAAAGCAAAAGGAGACGCAGCCCGTTTATTGACTCGATCAGGAAAGTGACTACGAGTATGTTTTCCTAATTGACAAGACTCGCACTGTAAAGTGGATAATTTAGATAAACTGGGCACCAACTTTTGTAGCTTGGGAAGACTTGGATGACCTAACTGCGCATGTATAATGAGTGGAGAATTTGTGGTGGAGCATATGGTAGATGACGTAGAGAAGTAGTAGAGGCCTTGAGACTCACATCCAACGCCAATCGTTTGTCCCGAATTTCGATCCTGCAGAATAACATCACTGTTAGTAAAAGTGATAGAACAATTAAGGGAACGAGTTAAACGACTGACTGGCAGTAGATTAAATGGGCAATTAGGTACATATAGGACAAAAGTAACAAAGAGAGATAGTAGAATTTGAACAGTACCGATCCCTTGGGATCGGGTTTGAGAATCATTTGCGACAGTTATACTCGGTAAGAAACCAGAGGTAGAAAGGGAAGAGAAAAGATTTTTATTACCGGTAACATGATCAGACGCACCAGAGTCGAGGACCCAAGGACCAAGAGGAGATGATTGAGAGACGCAAACAGATGAATTACCAGTGTGTGCAAACGAAGCCGTGGAACCAGAGGTCTGGTTAGTCTGACACCACCTGAGAAAATCCTCGTAGCTTGGCGTAGGGTTCTGAAGAGAAGGTGAAGTCTGCATAGTGTACGACTTTTCGAGAGTACGACTTTCTGTGAGTCGAAAACGAAAGCCGAGGGCAGATCTGGAACCGGAGGAGGAAGGCGATTTTCCAAAAGAATTTTTTTTTTCGTGAACAGTAGCGGCGGAGGTGAACAGTAGTCCTCTAAAAAAAATTTTTTTTTTTAGTGGACTGTGCTTGGCAGAGGTCGCTGGAAAAAAAAAGGTGAGGCAAACCGGAATGATGACACGGTTTGCAAAAGAAAATTTATTACCGGAAGACAGTGGGTTAACCGGGTAAAGCACGGCGAAGAATTGCCTCTTAGAAGGCTCTAGATACCATATTGAATTAGGAGAGACTAAGAGACATTTAGGTTAAACCGTGTGTTATGAAAGCACTACGGAGACTTTATTATATATAGAGAGATTACAACTAATTACACTATGTGATACGGTGGGAGAACTGACTTGGGATTTGCGTTTGTTTTCGCACTTGTTCGGTTTAGCAAGAGTCGCCACCGACTTTTTATTTTATTCTAAGGAAAGGTCAAAAAACACAGGAAAGACCTTTGAAATGTTTTCGTGGGTTCGGGGGTAGATTATGAAAAGGGAAGGTACTAGCACCCTTTTCATCCATGGTTATCCATGAGCTCTTAGTTACTTGTTTTAGATCACTTGCCTTTGCTTTTCAATTGTTTGAAATGGTGTTTTGTGTGTGTGGTTTTGAATATGTTTTGAAAAAAAGATGCCTTGTCTAGGCGACCTTTGTAATGACTTTTTGAAAAGATAATTCAATGTTTTGAAAGTTGTTTTGAAATTTTTTTAAAGTTTGTGTTGTGAAGTGTGTTTGAAAAATGGCAAGGATGTTTTGCAAGATTTTTGATCAAGTAACTAAGAGTTGTCTACCCTATTTTACTCAAAGATTTTCTTGTGTTTTAACCCTTTTAACAGTGTTGTTTCACCATTGTGTTTGATGAACAACCTTGCGTTAGGATGTTAAACGGGACAGACGCGGGTCATCGTATAGACCATGATAGCAATTGTGTCAAGTATCTTTTAGCAATTTTCCGAGGGACTAAATCATTTTTGTATAGGCAACCAAGATAACGTCATCGATGGACTATGATCTTTTGTTTTGTTTTTGTTTTGCCAATAGATATTCAACATGCATATCATGACCATTTGTTTAGGCAACCAAGTGGAGATACCTTAGGGGTGTTTATGTGCAAGTGCGTTTTATTGCATGCAAGAGTTTATCTTGAATTAGGATTTTCTATTTCATTGATTTTATCTTGCCATACACATCCTAATTACTAGCATTTATATTTGAAAGCAATAAAAGACGGAAATGTAAAATCCTATGCTATTACAGCATTTAGGGGATGTGGATACATATTTGTACATGGGGTGGTTCAACGAGAAAAATAGATAAGAAAAGAAAATAACAAAAGAGAGATAGAGAGAAAGAGAGAGAGGGCTAGCGCGCTGCTGAGAGGAAGTCAGAAGTTCTGACCCAGGCCTGCTGCCAGATTATCAACCTTTTGGTGAAAATGTATGAGTCAGAACTTCTGACTCTGGCACCTGCAAAACAGAAACCTGTTAATGGGAAGGTCAGAAGTTTTGACCCCCATGCGCTGCAAGACAAAAGTTTGTTAGTGGGGAAGTCAGAAGTTCTGACCCTGCTGGACATACAATAATTTTCAAAAGTTCTGATATTATTGACAGCAAAACAGACTTCAGATGTGCTAACGTCAAAGTCAGAACTTGGCTTCTCCCTGTGCTGGTCAGAACATCTGCAGTTTTGTTATTTTTCCACAAAACAGAAAACATGCTTGGGGCAACTTCAGCAAATGTCAAAGTGTTTCAGGAGACAGAACCAACAAGGTCACAGGCAGGTTCTACACTGATTCACTTCCTACTTAAACATTCTGAGGTATAAAAAATCCTCAGTACGTAAACAGCAGCAACATGATATTTACATTATGTTTTTTTGAGCATGCAAATCTGGTAATGCTTAGGCAAGGTGGTGAGAGTCAGCAAGTGCTTACCTTGCAGCTGGAAGAAGCTCTGTGAACTGGAGTTAGCCTTAACTCTGATGACGTTTTGAGTAGCTTCTTTGAATGGATGGATGGAGGGTATATAGTGGTATGAATACAGAAGCTATGACAGTTTCCAACGTGTGGGTTAGAAACTGTATGAAAGGTTTTTTAGTCAAGAAATACTCTGAGAACAAATGGAGTTTGAAAGCAAGGGATCCAAAGTTAATGGTTTGTATGTTATGTTTACAGTTTTTTGAAACTCTAGGAATTTTGGGCAGAAGTTCAAGACTTTTCTTTCTCAAACTTTATGTCTCTTTTCAGCAATTTTTCTGGTCTCCTTCTCAGTGACCAATGGCCTTCTATTTATAGGCAAAGCTTTGTGGTTTTTTTAAAATGTCAAGTGGCGCCAATATCATGCATTAGATGCTGACTTACTCTTGAAGCAAGTTCCAAAAAGGTTGTGGTGATTGACAGCCTTTAGCTTAGGCTGGATTAGTAAGCAAGGATTAAGGAAAAGTGAACCTATAAGCGAAATGTAGCGTATGGGCCTTTACCTAATCCTGCACAAAAGTATTTCCACCCTACACGTGGAGAGATCCTCTGGACGAAGACTCAAAAGTGGTTGTGAGCATTAATGAGCCTTAAATGATGATGAGATTCGTCAAAAATCAGAAATCTTGTAATATGAGATTTGCATCATTACTTAAATCTAGGCCAGAAGTTCCATTTCAACGTAGTCTAGGACAAAGTACCCAAGTTCTGATCTTGATATCCTGTTGCCTTAGCAAGTTCTGAGGAATCCCCAAGCTTTCCCGCATGTTTCTTTGACTTGCTTCTGAAAACTCTGGACTTAGAGATTTTGCTTCAGTGTAGCACCCAATCTTCTGACCCTCTTACCTTCTGGTTCCAGCATGTTCTGAAGGAGCTTTCAGATTTTTCATCATGTTTTATAAACTTCTGGCAACTTCTGACTGAGCTGGCGTAGATGCTGAAGGGCCACATTCTGACTGAATGTTATGTGCTGAAACACACTTACAACTTCTGACTGCTCCTGCCTGGAGGCTAGCTCAGAAGTTCTGAAGTGTCATTTTTCTTAAATACTTTAGAAAAATTCTAAGCATTTAGAATTTAACTTTTCCAAGGTAAAATTTGACTTTTGACCTTCTTGATGAAACAAACTTCATATTCCAACATGTCTTGATGAAATATGATTTTTGAGATTTTGATCCAAAAACTAAAGTTTGACTTCTCAGCGTGTAAATGACCATTTTGCCCTTGTAAATGGATTGCTTGGAAAGAAATGATAATTCAAGGCTTGGATTTGTATGAGAGAAAACTTTGAGAATCCAGGGTGATTTCTTGAGAAAGGAGATGGCAAATTTTGGGGTACAACACACTATATAATCGATGTGGGACTATTCTACATACAAATATTCTTACCATTATATATTTACAAATATCAACAGCTAGAATTGCTTACACACTAAATAATATTTTTCAGTAGCTACTATCTAAAACCTTTTGTTTTTACTTTGCTGGTATCTGTTGGAATTTCAATCAAGGTTCTCGAACTCGAGACTCAATGTAAACTCATTAGAGTTTATCTAAAAAATGATTTAAAAAATTGTGTTTGAGATGCTTATTTTAGACCCCCAATATCAGAGACCTATTTCCCGGGGTATTGTTCCTTGATTTAGAAATGGAAATCTTGCTGTACCCAAGATCATCACCCTCCAGTTTCACAGATCCAATATTACGGACAAATGAGAATATTGCAAGTTCAGAATTGGTGGCCAGAGGTGTATAGGAACTAATGGCTGATGATGAAGTAAATTAGCAAGTCTGGCCTTGTTTGTACCAGTTTACTCAAGTCTATCTGCATTTATGCAGAAACGACTTTTCAAGTAATTAAACTCAATTTTCTTACCTAGAATTGTAAACTCATATGATTCTACTAAGTTAACTTATAAGTTTGACCTCCACGGCTATCCTCTTGTGGCATGCTGACTTATTGATTACAGATTCCACACCAACACTGTACTAGTATATGATAATATTAATACTGTGCTGTATAACATGTCATTTCCTTTGGTGTTTACAGTGGCTCTGGGTTTCCAGTTTTATTTTTTATTTAACTTGATATTATTTTGCCACATATCAAATAATAACAACAATAATGTGCATGCTTTAAATGATTACTTTTATGATTCCATCCATTTTCTTCCTGTCAAATTATGATTCTTGATTTCTTTTAACGGAAATAAACCTCGTAGCCTTCAATACTTATCCACAATTGTGTTTTTGTTTTATTTAGCTGTGCAAATTGTTATGTTAATATCTTGTCCCTGTTTCATGTGTTTTCTGAAGTGTACATTCACGGCGTTTGTTTATCATGATAGACTCATACCTGAATGAATGTAAACCTTAAAAGTCAACTCTTAGAAGATGTTATGATTTATGCGACAGTTTTACATAGTTCTTTATGATTAGCTGATTACAAGTGCAAATTTTAAGATTTAAGTGAACTGGAGCATATTTTCTTTGAATATCCTATTGTATAAGGTTTTACTTTTAACTGAGAAAGTGTTATACTGTGAATTAGGGACCCCATTCCGATTTCGGTGGGCCAAACTCTGGAAGCACAGCTTGTGTGGCTGTCATCCGAGGAAACAAACTTGTTGTTGCAAATGCTGGTGATTCTAGATGTGTGTTATCAAGGAAAGGCCAGGTACACCCATGTCCTCTTTCAGTAGGTCTCTAATTTTAGCAGGAATGCAATACAGACCTATCTACTGTAGGCATCAAGCAGCTGGTAATGAGTCTGCAGATACATGATGTTAAAGGGTGCAACTTCATTCTCCAGTGTCTGAAATATGATAAATATAATTCAGTTTGGATAAACTTGTATATATGATTCAGTATGCAAATACATGCACTTGCACATACTTGACACCATATATGCTCATGTTGTCAATAGTGCCACGTTGCGGCACTATAGCACCAGAGAGGAGCGACATGTGGGTGATCATACGCATATGTGGTGGTGCAGCGCAGAAGTAAGTCAAGAAGCTCTTTGTGCAGATAGCGTCCCACTAGACCCACTCTGGATTAGAGGAGGAAAACTAAAAGCCACTGTAAAAACACAGTACTTAAAAAAAATACATGTGACTGGGCTTTTAGGAAAAAATAGTTGTTATTTATAATAATCAGATAACTGCCTAAAAAATAATAAAATAACATAGAAACATTACTAAATAAAATATTTGCAGGATTTGTTTGCACTCCTATTTAATGAAGTTATATTTGCAGGCACACAACTTGTCTAAGGATCACAAGCCTGACCTTGAACTTGAGAAAGACAGGATTTTGAAAGCTGGCGGTTTCATCCAAGTTGGACGAGTCAATGGAAGTTTGAACTTGGCTAGGGCAATTGGTAATTTATTTTTTGGCAATATAATTCTTAAAGCAAAGGAAAGTGTCTTGAGTTTGGTGTTCTCCCGAAATATTTATAGTTTGGCTTGAGATTTTGCATTTCCTTAGTGTTTGTGTTGTGATGTAGTTCTCTTTCTATCACAGGTGATATGGAGTTTAAGCAGAACAAGTATTTGCCTGCTGAAAAGCAGGCTGTGACTGCTGATCCGGACGTAACTTCAGTAAGTATTGCTTTGTATATCATGCTATTTAAAGAAGATAAAACTTGTTACTTTTCTTGCCTCTGTTTTATTTGTGTTATACTGAAAAAAAGATTCTTTGCACAAATTATTACTTTATTTCTAATATTGTTTGTGCATAGTTTAAGGTTCTCATGCTCTTTGATAAAAGTTATTCTTTATTTTCTTTGCTCCAATTTGAATTTATTTACTTATTTATATTATATATGCATTGCGATAGGTTGAGCTTTGCGGTGATGATGAGTTTCTTGTGATAGCATGTGATGGGATATGGTAGGTTACTCAGATTTCCTCCTATACTGCTGTTACCAGCTGCATATAGATAGCAAATATTCCTTTTTTATTCTGAATTCTAACTTTAATTATATTACTATGATATAACCTCCTATGCGTATAGGGATTGCATGTCCAGCCAACAACTTGTGGACTATATACATGGCCAGTTAAAGGCAGTAAGTTTTCTATCGTTACCTTGGTTTACTTTATATAGCTAGAAATAACTTGAATATAGCATTCGCATGGCTGCAACTGCCAAATTTGGCGTTTACTTTTATTATATGAAATATTAAATCATGACTATGCAGGAGGATAAACTTTCTGCGGTTTGTGAGAAAGTATTTGATAGGTGCTTGGCACCAACAGCTGGTGGTGAGGGATGTGATAACATGACCATGATCTTGATTCAGTTCAAAAATCCTCCCACTTCAGATGCTTCTGTCCCAGACCAACCTCAACCATCTGCACAACCGGCTCCAAGTCCTCCAGCTTCAGATGCATCTGCTCAATCGACTCCAAATCCTCCAGCTTCAGATGCATCTGCTCAACCGTCTGAAGCCGACAGAAGTTAGAGAAAATTGAATTGAAGTGAAATTTCAGATTCAAGCAGATGGCCATCAATTTCTGACTGCATGTTGAAGCACTGGTAAGGGAAGGTTCTCGGGTACTACTTTTATATCCAGATTCAGGACGTTAATCCTCAGTAGATGATTGTAAATTTGTGACAAACTGCTAGTTCATGGGGTTTATTGATTTTGTATATAAAACGTGGGTTACTAGAATATGAAGGGGTCAACAACGAATATACTGGCATAGACAGTTACATGGATGTTTGAAATTACAGTATCTTTTTGGAATCACACCAATGACAACATGATTGTCAACAGGAAGAGCGTTAAATACGTCTGAATTCAGTGCAATGTTATGAATGAAAATCACATGTGATTTCTTTTGTTTATGCAAGTAAAGACCCATGTCAGTTTGTGAATTTTTTTTAACAATATCTAAGTATTAGGAAAAAAAAAAATACAAATAACTATGTTTCAGAAAACTCCATAATGGAGGCGCCAAGTGAGATGACGCATGCACTTTAATTTTAGGTAGTGCAAAGTGAGATGGCGCCTAGGTGCAACATGTTTGTCCTAAGCTATCTCAGATGGTGCCTAAGTGCATTTAAGAGACAATTTTTTTTGCCTTCTATTTTAAATACGAGACAATAAGTAAACGATATAGCTTTATGAAACTTTGACTTTTCATTAACAAATGAACGATTACTTAATGAAAAAAAAGACATGCATATTATTTAGTTGTTCCCCGGAACTCGGTAATGACTCGTGGTTTTGCATCCGTGTCCGCGCCTATCTTGTGGTGGGTTTCGTTGATTTTTCTGTTGGGGTTGAGTCGATGGTCCAACGAAGTCAATGCGTTCAGGATCTATGAAATCGATCAAGTGGAAGATCCGCTTTGGTATAGTCGGTTATTCATGCCCTTAAAGTTTGGTCGTCTTGGTGGGGGGTGTTCCATGGATGGTCAAAGGAAATGAATCTTAAGGTGTTCGGTATTGCGACTGTTGGGTGCTATGGTGATGTGATGGTTGATGGTAAGTTGGGTCGGTTGAGTCATATTCTTCAGGAAAACCTAGATCTAGGCTAATGTGAGATGATGAGGGGCTCACATCGGGATGTGGAGAAGACTGGAATTGTGTGTGGGGCATGTGGGTGTATTGGTATTGCGATTGAGATTGGGGTTGGGTGTCGGGCATATGAGTGTATTGGTATTGAGGTTGTGATTGTTGGGTGTGGGGCATATGAGTGTATTGGTATTGAGGTGGTGATTGTGGTTGAGTGTTTGTGGATCTGTATCGTCGTGGTATTTGGTGAAAAGTTGATGTGTGTTAGGTTTGTTGTTGGGGATTTGAGGTTTGTGCCTATTGTGTTCATGGGTCAATCAAATACCTCAGATGAGACACGTGAATTTTTGGGTTACTAACCGATTTGTACCAATCAAAATATTGATCTGTGTGTCATATATTATTCTGGTTGAGGAAAACAGGGAATTGCAAGACATGTTGGTGACGCCTATACCACATCTTACACCCTTCTGGAGCAAAATCTTTTCAATTAGTAAGACCCCATTGGGCGTCGACCCTTTTGAGATACCAGAGTGACAAACAAGTTGAATCGCATGGTATCTCTTGATGCATTATGAATTGCATCTTGACACGGTCGCTGTGGTGCATCTCCACAACGTTGAACCGTATGATTGCAGTCTTTGCAGTCCAAATTGCTGCATCCTCGGGATTTGGTTTATGATCCAAATCCAAATATGATCTTCAGATAAACTATGGATAAAATTAAATCAGCATAATGAAAACGTAAAAAATAAATAATTTAAAAGTAGAAAAGTTCAAAGGTACCACGTATATCATCCAGGCCAAGGTGATCCAATAGATTACGATATAGAGCGATATTTAATCTTGGATTCTTGCCGTAATCCATACCCGTTACGCAATACCTATAAAGAAACTGAATAATAGTTTATTTTATACATATATTTGGCGAAAGGATGAATAATAAAGTATTTAAGTTCTTGACTTACTTTGTTGCGCATGAGAAAATGAATGCATTGTTGTTGACGGGGTTTAGGGACTCCATTCTCCACCAACCCCAGGTTTAGAGTAAGAAAGCGTATCCATAAAAAATACATTTGTCCTTTATTGTATTTTTACACAAAGAACTGTATAGATGGGCTAAAACAACATAATCTCAACTATACTTTCTTGTTTTTTCAAAGTTCCTAAGCAAACTTAAATACATAAAATTTACACTATTCTTTGTACTTCCGAGAAATAACAAGCTTCCAAATAGTATCATCATATAATTTCTAGCTTTTATTATTTTTGCTAGCGCGGACGAATTTTCATTCAACTCAAGATTCGCATAATGTTTTTTGAGTTCAGTTAGTAATATACCTTGGCCTCTAGCACCGCTACCTTCTACCATATCTTTGCCCAATAATTTCTCGCATAGAGAATTGGGTTATTGAACCGATCCATTAACTGTCTTACCATCGATAGGGGGACCCAATAACATGTACACGTTCTCTAGTGTGACGGTACATTCACCTATTGATAGATGAAATGTGTGTGTCTCGGGTCTCCACCTTTCTAATATTGCAAGTATAAACTTGGAATCAATCGTGCAGTTTGAAATTTTTTATAACATTTTCAGAATCCACATATTCGAGATATGACACGATCAACAGGTTGGGAGTAATGTAGTTGTATGAGTGAATTCTAAATCTTTTAGTATCCTAAGTTCAAAATGTAAAAAGTGTAAGAGTCCATAAGATGACTAATTGAATAATAAATTTATAAAAAAATATATTAATATACAAGAATATTTAAGAATTTATAGAAACTTACAAATGCCGCAATGTTGTCTCTTGTGCCTCTGTGAGAATCGCCCATTGTGAGAAGAGCCATATTTGAAATTGTATAAGAAAATGAAAAGAGTTTGTAACAGAGAGTGAGATGATTGGTGATGAAAAACAAGTATCTCAGGTGTCATATTTATAGGAAAAATCGTATAAGAGTGAATTAATGAAGTGGTTGGTGGTTGCATGCATGCATGATACATGCCACTCATGCGGCAAGTCAAAAGGCGCCTGCATGTAATTTAGAGAGCATGCGCCATTCAACTTGGCGTGGGTTTTTACGCATGCATGTAAGGTGATAGGACATGTAGGGATGCGCCATTTGACTTGACGCATGAGTGCAAATTTGAAAGGTGTCGCCATCTCAATTGACGAATTAGTGGTGTAGCAGTTTTGTCTTGTTCAAGTTTAATGAAACCTATTTATCCTACATGCATCTAATGTTATCAACACTCAAACATTCAAACATTCAAACACTCAAACCTTCAAACATTCAAACATTCAAACATTCAAACACAATATCCTTTACACCACAATACATTATCAATGCATATTTCAACGGTGAGACGTACATTTGTTTCACCTCTGGGTTTTTATTTAGAGACACTGAGAACATCCAATTTTGTTTAAACAAGAAATCCAATTTCTTATATTTCAAAAAATGATTAGAGGTCAAACTTTGACGAGGTCCAGTACCACACATCTTCTACCAAAATCCTTTTTTTGTGAGAACTAAATAATATTTTATAAGATAGAGGTTCAAGATGACGACGACTTTCAAAATATGTTTTTCAGTCATGAGTATTCTGGGTACGAATCGATTGAGTTGTACATTGTGTTGTGGGAGCCTCAGCTGTCACGACCAAATCAGTCACAAGTGGTTGATCCTCTCGAAGACGAACAGGCAGAAGTAGATGTCGTTGACGAAGAAGAGGAAGATGAAGAGTTAGAGTTTGAAGACATGGTCAACGATGATTCTGAAGACGATGGACTACTTGAGATATCTCCGAATGAGATCTACACACCACCTTCACACATGAAAAACTTCAACATGGGAGGAGATGAATCTCCATCTGATGTTTTTTCAACCCGTATATGCAGCCGAATGAAAATTTAAAAGAGAAAGATAAATTTCGTAATAGAGAAAATTGTATACGAGCTATAAATTTTTTTACATGCTAAACTCTATCAATTTTAAGGTAAATCGGGTAAATGCAGAAAGATACAAGATCAGGTGTGTTCACCCAAATTATATGTTCAGGCTCACAACATCATACATGTTTAGAGGTGATTGTTGGGTGATAGGTTCTATGTCCACCCACACGTGCGTCAATTCTATTCAATCATAAGATGATCGTAAACTAAAATATGATCTAATATGTCAATAAATCTTACATCTCGTCAGCAATGATCCACCACTGAAGGTGAAAACCATAATCTCTCACATCACTACAGTATATAATTATACTCCGTCAGACAGAAAGGGGTGGTTAGCAAAGACCAAGGCGATTGAAAAGGTATATGGAAACTGGGAGGAGTCATCCAAAGAACTACCGCGCTACCTGCATGCACTTTAGAAATATTCTCCTGGAACTGTTTATATTATGGAAACATTGTCGGCGTACGCCCCAGATGGTACTCATGTCAACGGAAATCGAATATTTAGTCGACTGTTATGGGATTTTCAACCTTGCATTACAAGGTTTGCATCATGCAAACCTATTATTCATATAGATGGAACATGGTTGTACGAGAAATACAAAGGCATGCAACTGATGGCAGTTGCACAAGATGGCAACAACAATATTTTTCAAATTGCATTTACTCTAGTCGAGGGAAAGATTGGTGGTGCTTGAAGTTTCTTTCTCAAGAATCTCTGAACACACGTGACTCTTCAACCTGGTCTCTGTTTGATCTCCGACAGACATATATCTATTGAGAGTGCATACAATAATCCTGTAAATGGTTGGCATGCCCTCCTTCTACGCATGTCTACTACATTATACATATCGTACAAAATTTCACGAGGGAGATCAAAGACAAGGCTCTTAGGAAAACAATTATGAACGTGGGGTATGCATTAACACAACCTTCAGATTGTCAAATCCGGATGCAGGTAGGTGGATTGATGATATTA